CTCCTGGGCAAAGCCTAGAAGCTCCGGTAGGGATGGCTGTGAATCCAAAGGCTGTAGGTTGGGGACTGGGCCACTCCCCCTCTGGTGAGTGGCACAGTCAATCCCCCAGTGACCTGGCTGTTTACAGTGAGGACAGGTTATGACAGGCCCATGCCGAGTGGCCTGGTTGACTGCATTTGAAGCAGTTCCCGGGTGGTTTGCCCCTACAGGCAGCCAGCTTTGGAGTATGTGAGCCATGAATGGCATTAGCCAGGAGCTTGTATTTGGCCTGATCTCTTACAGTTTTTTGAGTACCAGGGGCTGATTGGGTATTGAAATGAGAGTGTAAGAGGGCCACACCTTCAGGGGAGTTTGGGTCTATACAGGTGTATTCATTTAAAGCCTCAGAGAGGTGGGTTAGGAACTCGCTGGGATTTTCAGTGGATCTGTGTGATTTCTCTAAGCTTGTCATAATTGACTGACTTGTGAGTAGCCTTTTGGAGGCCGTGAAGTAAGTTTGTGATCAGATTATCTCAGAGATCTTGATCCCCGTGGCCGGCCTGGTGGTCCCAATTTGGGTCTGTGCAAGGAACAACAACGGCTCCCACAGGCTGTCTGTTATTTTGAGCATCTACCTGAGCCACCATCCAGACCTGCTCCCTGTACATAGACTCAGACAATTCCTTCCATCCCAGCCACTTCACAGAACGGTTATAAAAAGCTGGAGCTGAGGCAGGGTTGTTACCTCATGAAGGGGAGAAGGGATGGAGTTGGGCTGAGGATGAGCATCTGGAGGCCAGGTGTGGGGAAGAGAGAGAAATGTGGAGGGCTGATGGATCAGAAGATTGATCTGAGTGTGGAAGGAGAGGTCGAGCATGAGCTAGGAGAATTCGAGACGTAGGACAGTTCTGACAGAGAGAAGAAGGTGTTCAGAGATAGGAAAAGGCCTGAACAAGGAATCTCTACAGCTTTTGCCATTTCAGTGAGTGTCTAAATCAAGTTCCATCTTGTGGCCACTGGGATCCATTGTAACGAGGTGTTTGAGTTTACATGTCTCCCTGGAGGCCGAGAAATTGGCCAGGAGACAACCCAAGGGTGTAGACCGTGGAGGTTTGGATTGTGAGGATCCCGTGTAGAGGGTGAGAAAGGCAGTCAGTCCTGGCAGAAGAAGAGTGCCAGCAAAGGGCATCCCCTTTGGTGCCCACCTTCTTTTCAAGAGAAAAGCCACTGACCAGCTAGAGGAGTGTCCTCCACTAGCTGGGGGCACGAGAAGAGTTCCCTTGGCCAGATGCCTGGGCTTCGTAGAGACCCGAGTCATAGAGAGAATAGTTGGGGGAACCATAGGAGTAGGTAGGACAGACCCACTGACTCACCCTGACTTGAGGCTGGTGTTGGATGCCTTGGTCTGATACGGCAAAAGGAGAGAGAGTCCCAGAGGCATCCGGTTTTGGCAGGTCTGGGAAGGGCAGCCGAGGGCCAATCACCCCAAGAGAGAAGGGATCATCCACAACGTCATCGGGTTTCAGCACCGTAATGAAAGAAAGTGAGCCGAGATGCCAGGTACCGTTCAAGCTTTATTAAAGAAAGAAATCTGCCAGGCTGTGCTCAAAATGGAGGACAGCCCGGGACTGCCCTGAAAATGGGGGGCAGCACCAGGTGTGGGGATAGGAGAGCTTATATAGTGCGCCAAGGGCTGGCTGATACCATCAAGGAGGGTCATTACGCTAATGTGGATCGGGGTGGAGAACTGGGTCCTTGCAGAAGCAAAAGGGGTTTCTGTTTAAGTCAGGAGGCTTCTTGTAAATGGAAGGGCGAGGGGAGGGGAGGAGGTGGGTGGCACCATTTTGTACTTGGGCTTGTCTAAAGTGGTGCTGGTGATGTTGCAGATCTATTAATATTCATTGAGCTCTTCGCATGCCAGGCATTGTTCTGAGTATTTTGCAGTCATTTAACTCAATTGTTACAAGCATTATATCAGTAACATATTAATATTCCTTGTCTTAAATGCATAATAAGTTGCTAAGATAGTGTGATTTCTGAAATATTTTGTGTGCACAATGAAATGAACAGAATGGTAGTCCCCCCTTATCCGCAGGGGAAAATGTTCCAAGACAACCCCCGCCCTCCATGCCTGAAGCCGTGGATAGTACTGAGCCCTATATATTCTCTGTTTTTTTCCTATACATACCTACCTATAATAAAGTTTAATTTATAAATTAGTCACAAGAAGATTAACAACAATAACTAATAATAAAATAGGACAACTATAACAATATGCCAGCATAACTACTCTTGTACTTTAGGGGCAACATTAAGTAAAATAAGGGTTACTTGAACACAAGCACTGCAATACCATGACAGTCACCTGACAAACCAAGATGGCTATGTGACTAAGGGCAGGTAATGGATACAGCGTGGATATGCTGGACCAAGGAGTAATTCACATTCAGGCAGGACAGCGTGAGATTTTATCACGCTACTCAGAATGGCACTCAATTTAAAACTTGCGAATTGTTTGTTTCTGGAATTTCCCGCTTTTATTTTTGGACTGTGGCTAACCATGGATAATTGAATTTGGATAAGAGGGGACGATTGTAATCATAAATGGCTTGGTTTGAATAAATACCCTTCTCCTTTACTCTATTGAATGAGCAAGCAAGACCTTAAACTACAAGTACATGTTAAGAAAAGTTATCAAGTTAGATTTTACCTTTCTCTCCTAAATAATAGTATAATGTGTATGAGATGGGTCTCTTATTTTAATGTATTAGAAATGGTGCTGTAACATATTTTAATTTTTTCCCAATCTCAAGGTTGGTCACTTTTTTTGTTTGTTTGTTTGTCCTTTTTGAGACCGGCTGCACCACGCTCAGCCAGTGAGCGCTGCGAGCGCACCGGTCATCCCTATATAGGATCTGAACCCACCGTGGGAACGCTGCTGCGCTCCCAGCGCCGCACTCTCCCGAGTGTGCCACGGGCTCAGCCCAGTTGGTCACTTTTTAAATGACAAGGTCCAGAGGAGTTACAAAGAGGCCATCTTTTCATCCAACCTGAAAGAGCTGTTTGTTGAAATAAATTTTTCACAAGAGCCAACACCCAAAGAAGAACTAAATTAAATCCAACATTGAGTGCCCCATGGCACCCAATTAGCACACTGTTTGGGTGGCATTTTGTGGGTGAGGACAATATGCCCTGCTTCAAGAAAAGCCATAATCTATATGAGGGGTCTTCAGAAAGTTCATGGAAAAATGGAATTAAAAGATAAAAATAAAAAATATAACATTTATTTCTCAACATAAACTTCCTCAAGTTTAAGAGACTTTTGTAAGTGATACCAACCATTTAGTCCATCCCTGAACAACTAACTGAGGGTCCTAGGGATTTAACCATGTCAATGCAGTCCTTTTTACATTATTAACTGAAGAAAAATGGGTGCCCTTTAAAGACTTTTTAAGATTAGGAAACAAAAAGAAGTTAGAAAAAGCCAAGTAAGTACTGTAAGGTGGGTGCCAAATGTTTTCCCATAGAAACTCTTGCAAAACCGCCTGTGTTTGAGAAGGAGCAGGAGCATTGTCATGGTGAAGAACTCTCTGGTGAAGCTTTCCTGGGCGTTTTCCTGCTAAATCTGAACCAGTTGAGATGTATATGGTGTTGGCTATTGTTCCTACTGTTAATCATCGGTCCTCTTCAATTACAGCAGGAACAAGATTAATTTTTCCTCTCAAATTGATGTGCATGGTCTGCCGGTGTGGGCTTTATCTTTGAGATCACCTAGTCCCTTCTTAAAATGAGTTATTCATTTGTAAAGTACTGATTTTGGGGGGGCATTGTCCCCATAAACTTTCCATAAAGCATCAATGATTTCTCCCACCCAAACTTCACTATAAATTTGATGTTTACTCTTGCTTCAATTTTAGCAGAATTCATGTTGCCCTAAGAGCTTTTTTCAAACTGATGTCTAATTCTTCCTAGTGCCTCAAACATCCCTGTTCGGACATGTTATAACAAGGTAGTATGCGTTTATTTGGGTACAAAAAAATGGAATCCTTGCACACTTCTTTCACGGTATGCATTTCCCATGAACTTTCTGAAGACCTCTCCTAGACTCTCCCTCTGTGAATTTCTGCATGATTTATTCCCCAAATTAGCCAGACTTGAAAATCTAGGAGTTGCCTCTAGCTATTTTGGCCCAAATTCCCTATACAAACAGAGCATTTACAATAAGTTAATACAAGTCTGTAAAGTAACTCGCACTGGGGAAAGGACTACATGTGAAACTGGAACACACATAGGCCACCCTCAATTGTAGGAAGTCAAGAAGAGCAAATATTTGGAGGTTGATAACCCAAAACACACCCTGACCAGGTCAGCTAAATTATAGTGCCATGGGAGATCTGTTAAGTCAGTAATCAAGTCCACCTGTCCTGGAAAACGTTATCATAAAAAAGCCATAAAACAACCCAAAGTGCTTCTTATTACCCTGACCCTAGATATCTGCATGTAGGTAACCTAGTAACAATCCCAAATCTAGAGTCATGTACAACCAATAGTAATCCAGCAGGGCTGTCTTTCTCTGTCCCCTGTGACCCTTCCCCCTCTTGTGATTATACAGTGCTAACTGGCTCTCTTCAGAATGTCTTTCTCGGGGCGTCCTGACTACGCGAGTCCGGCTGCAGCTGTCCTATTGGCTCAGTACAACCTTGCTATAAGTTATTTGGCCTGAGTTTCTCTTTAGGTCAACAGGCTGCAGAGACTGAGCGAGGCTGAGCTCACCGCAGGTGATCTGAAATTGCCTCAGGCTTCCTTCCCCGGGCAGTCGTCGTGTGTCCTCGGGGTGGCAACTGGCACTTCCCGAGGGCTGGGCTTGTCCCTCCTGCTCTCCTCCCCCGCGCCCCGCCCCGCGGGCTCTGGAGTGACTCCTGGAAGGAGCTTCAAGTCGGCGGGAAGTACCGGCCGGGGTGGGCGGAGCGCCGAGGCCGGGGCGGGGGCTGCGGGCCCCTGATTTCAGGAAGCGGAGCGGAGCCCGGCGTCTTGCTGGGCGCTGAGCCGCGATGAGCACGGCGCTGGGGCTCCGCGAGGCTCACCCTACAGGTAGGCGGGGGCACGAGGGGCCGCCGGGCAGCTTCGAGCGCCGTGCGTCTGTGCCGGGGGGGGGGGACGTGGGCTGCTCCGGCTTTGCGGGAACGCGGGCTGTTGCGGGTTCTTGGCGGAAGCGCTCAGGTCCGGAGGGGGCTGCTTTCCTTTGCAGTCCAGAAAAACACCTCGGGGACCCGGCTGTCGCCTTCTCGGGTAGCGGCGCCCGTCGCTGGGGCGTGCCCCTGCCGCCTTTGTCCTCCAGCGGTGAGCTCCTTGCAGGCGTCCGAGCCATGTAAACTTTAAATGGCTGGCTCTGGCCGCTCCTGGCGCCCGCCCACGCCTGGCCATGTGAAAAGTTGACTTTGGGAGTTTGAATCTTGTTTTTGTTTGCGCACTGTAAGTTAAAGGAAGTGGCTGCACCGAATAATTACGAAAGCATGATTAGCCCGCGGGGTGCAGAGGCCCCTGGGTCTGTCCGGGCTCATCCTTGAGGCCAAGTCAGGCCTTGGCGCGCACCACAGTCCTGATATCTGTTTCCTGCATCCAGGAAACCTGCTGCTGTTTGCTGGTTCGAGTTAAAACAGCAGTAACTTTTCTCTTCGAAGTAAGCAGCTGCTGAAGGCGTACTTTAGAACGCTCTTCATGACAATTATATTACTGGTAATTGCAGAAACTTCAAGCCTGGCCATAGTAGAAACAAGGATGAAAAGCTGACATTCGGTTGCAGAGTGCCTTTATTTCAGAGCTTTTTATTCTTTGCCCCACAAAGGAAGCCTTGCTCCAGAGCCAAGTTCTAAAAGTCACCGTGGTCGTATGGGGAGTGGCCTTTTCCTGGACGGACAGTGCAAGCTCCAGTGGCCATCCCCAGTTCTGGAACAAGTGGTGAGGGGTGGGAAGCCGGGAAGGGGTCCAGGATGCCCAGCCATTAGTCACTGCACGTCCCTCTCCGTTTTTGTCTGATTCCTTTTTTTATTCGCCTGCTCCCTTTCTTTTCCGTCTCCACCGCACCCCTATTCCACGTCTGTTCTGACGAGGGGTTACTCAGTGCAGTCGCCCCCCATATGCATGGGTTCCGCTTTCGCGGATTCAAGCAACCCAAGATAGGAAATATTCGGCCCTGTGCAGCCCAGCGGCCCGGAAAAAAGGTTGCATGGCGACTGGAGTGCAGAGACTGGAGCTTACGGGCGATCCTGGCTTTCAGTCCCAACTCTACTGCGTTGACCTTGGACAAGCCCGGCCCACTTTCTCTATCCCTGCCCCTTGCGCTGTGGAGTGGCCTGAGATAAGGTATCTAAAGCGCCAGGCCATCAACAAATGGTAGCTGGTAGGATTATCTGGAAGGAGTATCAAATTAGGGTAAGGAGAAAAAAGGAGTGATTGGTTTTAAAAATGTAAACTGAGGGCCGGCCCGGTGGCGCACTCGGTAGAGTGGGGCGCTTGGGAGTGCGGCGACACTCCCGCGGAGGGTTTGGATCCAATATAGAGACCGGTCTGCTCACTGGTTGAGCGCGGTACGGGCGCGACACCAAGGGTTTGCGATCCCATTGCTGGTCACGAAAAAACAAAAAAAAAAAAAGGAAAAAAAAATGTGAACTGATTTAAGGAACAAGGAGGTGGTAGAGTAGCTGTTTTCCATTATGGTAGAAGAGAAGGAGCAGTGAAAAGAGGTCAAGAATCAGGTTTAAGAAGGACACGTTTTGATAAATAGATTGCAGATGAACAGGAATTTATAAAACTTACATACGGTACTCCATTAAAATTTATCTTCTTCATGTTAACAAAGCCATTTATGATTTTAGCCAGGTTTTTTTTGTGTGTGTATTCATGCAGTATAAACAATATATATATTACATATATATATATTTTTTAAAAAAAATTTTTTTAAGATGACCAGTAAGGGGATCTTAACCCTTGACTTGGTGTTGTCAGCACCACGCTCTCCCAAGTGAGCCACGGGCCGGCCCTTAAACAATACTTGTTAAGTGCACCTTTCTTAAAAGCTTGACTGCTTGGTACATACAGCTCAGGGTGGCCATGACAGTAGTCATGATGTATTATTTTCTCTGGAATCTGCGAGTAAAGTTGATCAACTCCAGAAAAGTGTTGGAACTTTGGTCCTGACATGTCTCCATGGCTTTCTGCTCTCATTCAATATTTGCTAGAATGGCGGGTGGTGCTGGTCCTTAATTGATAGTACAGGATGCAAGGTGCACATTTATATTAGAGTGAAGGTTAGAGTTGGCCAGGATCAGAATCAAAGTTAGCATTCTACATCAATAGCCTTAATAATAACAAAAAAAACTTTTTAAAAAACCCCTCACTGAGATTGCCGAATCTGTTAACTTTGGAAGTGAATGTCATTTTTAACAGGTTTTCTTCAGCAGTGTATTAGTCCGTTTCTGTTGCTTATAACAAATACCTGCAACTGGGTAATTTATAAAGAAACAATATTTATTGCTTACAGTTTTGGGGGCTGTGAAGTCCAAAGTCCAGAGAACACATCTGGTGAGGGCCTTGGTGGTGGACAGTGACCCTTCACAGCAAAGCAGGGTGTCACATGGCAAAATGGCAGAAGCAGAGAGAGAGAGCTAACTCCTAACTCCTCCTTTTAAAGCCCTCAGAACCACACCCAGGACCACCATTAAACCACCAATTCATAAATCCATTCACTGTGGCATGGTCCTCACAATCTAATCACCTCTTCATGGCCCCACCTTTCAGTTATCAAAATAGGATTTCCTACCTGCTTAACACTCACAGTGGGGACCAAGCCTCAATGAGTTTTGGGGGACATCCAATCCCCAGCAAGCAGCTACTTAAAACTAGCTATTTCTAAATCTGTGGGTCTTCACTAGGTTGAAGGCAGTATTTGAGACAACCTAAACACCCATATTAAATTACACCAGAGAGGAAGAACTGTGATGCTCCTTCTTTTAAGAATATGAAAAATGAAAGCTTTAAAGATCCAGTAAAGCACATATCCAGTGCTTCCACCCTCAAGGACTTGAGCTAGTTTGGTGACCAGCCATTTGGCACAGCTTCCCTTAGGTACACTTTGAGCACCTTAGGCTTGGCAGTCAGCACAGTGCAAAAGCTGGAGGAAGTGATCTAGTGGGTCTGCTCCACCTTCTCCACCAGGAAAGAGACTGGCTGGTTGCCAAGCTGTGCAGGAGAATTCTTGGGGGTGAGGAGTATGGGTTGGCTTTCTGACATACAGATTTAATTTGCTTGGTTTGAAGTTATTTTATTACTTTACCGTACAAACGGTTAAAAGATAAAGAGGTAAGATTATCAAAAGGAGGTAGATCCTGGACAGCCTTTGAAAATGGAAGGAGTGAAATCCCTTTACTGCCCCATAGAGAAATGTGTGCAGTAGGAAGTACCTGGTTACTGTGATCACCTAGGACAAGGGTCAGACTAAGGAGCTTTCTTATCTGCAGTGTAGTTGCCCTGAAGGAAACCTGAGGAGAGTGGGGAGAGGTTAGAGAGGCGGCTTTTGGCTCTCAAACTTTTATGTAAAAATCACCTTGTTAAAAATAGATTGTTACCCCCTTCCTCCAAGATTCGGATTCTGTGAGTCTCAGTTTGGACTCAGGAATCTGCAATTTTAACATCCACACCAGGAATTCTGATGCACAAGGCTGAGAAAAAGTGACTTAGGGCCCTAGTGGTCTTAGTAGCTTGGGTAAATTCCAGGAGGAATAGGCTGAATGTGACTGGCTAAAGGGTACTTGAGCCAAATTCCCCACCTCACCCTCATTCCCAGGATGTGTTTTTTTCAGGGAGAATTTAGAACAATCAGGCGTGGAGGGAGACTCTCCAAGAAGAGGGGAATACTACCCACTTGGCTAGGAGGTGATGGGTAGGAGCCCACGCTTTAGGGCCATTCTTCCTTCGAAGACCTCAACCAGGGGGTGCCTCCTGCTATACTGTTAATACTTCCATTTATTCATTAATTTCTCTCTTCTTCTAAGCTGTTCAGTTTATCAGGTAAAACAGATTCATGAGTGGATGGACTCTTATTGTAGAAGATCTATTCTTGTTGCAGTGTCCAATACAGAAGCCACTGGTCATGTGTGCTATTTAAATTTAAATTAATTGAAAATAAATAAAAAATTGAGTTGCACTAGCCTCATTTCAAGTGCTGAGTGTGGTTAGTGGCCACTGTATGGGACAGTGCAGATACAGTACAATTCCATCATCACAGAAAGTTCTGTCACACAGCAGTGCTCTAGAAAGTAGACAAAAATTCAGTGAGCAGTTGTCTAGAGGGTGGGGAAGTCTGATGGAGAGTGGGGAACAGAGGGTTCCCATTATAGGAATGCCGCTGTGTTGTTCAGGAGATCCAAAATCTGAGCCTTTGTCCTTGTCTTTCTCTTCCTCTACCTAAACTTCTACCTCTTCCAGGTGGTAGAGTAATCCAGTATTGACCACAAATTGTATTTCAGTTCTCCTGTATGACTCAATTCCTTCTCTGTTTCTGAAAAATATTTGCAAAAAACATTCCGCATAACAAAGCAATTACATATTTCATTCGAGTTCTATAATCACAGAACTATGTTACTCTAGGCATATTGTGGAGTGAATACATTTGTGTAGTATTTTCTCCATTTCTGTTTATAAGATGATATTCTGCTCATAAGAAATGGAGGTGAGAAAGCATTGAGCTGTTAATTTATATTTCATTTGTATGTTAGTAAGCAGCTTCCCTTCATTTCCCCTTATCCCTTCTCTTCATATACTTTGGCTTTTAAACTAACCAAAATAGAAGAGTCTGAATTTGGGAGTCAGAAGTGGGATGGAAGTCCCTGCTGTGTTTTACTTCCATAAGTCAAAAAGTAAATTAATTAACCAACATCAACCTTTTTTTTAACAGGTGGAAAACAAAACATGACAGAAACAGATGCCTTCTATAAAAGGTAAAAATGTGTTCTCTAATAAAGATCTCTTCCTTAGTGGTCCTGGTCAGCCTATAGAAATCAAAGCAAAAATGGAATCTGGGAGCTAGAAAGTAGAACTGCGTGTGCCAAATTTTAGTATTTGGGGAGTTGATTTGTAGATAGGCAGGTTAGTAGCTGTTGTCAAAGGACATGAAATGGTGTTCACAGTGTATAATGATTGGTATGGCATGGGCACAGAGCTAGAGCATGGCTCTGAGCCAGGCTGTTGTCCTGTGTTGCTGGATCCTGAGGATGGGGCGAGAAACATCAATGAGGAGGGCTGAGGGGTGTGCTGCTCAGGATGGCGCATGGCTGTTGACCAGTTGGTACAGAAATATTTCAGAACTCTCCTTACAAGCATGGCCTTTCCTAGAGCATACCAGTAGAATATCAGCCTGGCAAAGGAGGTTGAAGCTGCCTCCTTTGAAGACCTTTGTCTACACATTGACCTTGGGCTAGGAGGAGCTCATTATTATGACTTGAAGTGAATGTTTTTAAACTTTTCATTAACAGTGAAATGTTTGATCCGGCAGAAGCGTACAAAATGGACCGCAAGAGGAGAGGAATTGCTTTAATCTTCAATCATGAGAGATTCTTCTGGCAGTTAAAACTGCTAGAAAGGCGGGGCACCAACACAGACAGAGATAATCTTATACGCAGGTAGTGGTTTTATCTACATGTCAAGATGAGACACTTAAGTGATAACGGAATTATTTATAACTTGTTGGCACTGATAACAGAGGATGGACTTTACCTGGGCATAGCCTCCCTTAAGAACTTGCCTGAGCAGTCTTCCTTACCTTACTCTATTAAAGTGTTAAAAGGCTTTGCATTGTTACTAACATATTTGCATCATAGATGGCAGTGTTCTAAATTGAATTGGTTATCATTATGATGAAATCCTTTCCTACTGTGAGTGATCAGAGAAAAACATCATTTGTTTTTTTCCCCTGAAGAAAAGTAAATTTATATGTCATAAAAATGTGTACAGATTCCTCAAAAGTTAGGGTATTCAACAACTTTGAGAAGTTCATAAGCTAATATTCAATTTAATATATTACCAGGTTTTCAGATCTAGGATTTGAAGTGAAATGCTTTAACAATCTTAAAGCAGAAGAATTACAGCATGAAATTCAGGAGGGTAGGTAGTTTTGCTATTAAATCTTCCTCTGACGGGATTAAGTACTTTATCCTATCTGTAAAAACAGGTATAAATAATTAATGGTGTGGCAAAAAAGTGATATTAAAGGTTTTGGTTGTGCCTCTATATTTATGTTACCCACCAGATTTAGAGACCCTTGGCAAAGTATTATGCCTCTAACGTTTATACTTAGTACCTCTAATTACAGTCTATAACTTTAGAAATGAATGAGACAACCTCTTCATTTGGTGGTAAAAGTCTAAAATATAAATATTACAGATGCTGGACAGTCGAAAGGCTTATTTTTTAATTGACTGCTTTCATACTGCATTTTTTCACTGGTTTCAAAATAGTGTTGATTTATATACATTACTCTTAATTTCTATATCATTATGCAGTAAGTATTCTAATTATAATACAATGTATATCATAATCACTGCATGCCATAGATTTTCAAATCACTTAAGCTTTTCTTTAAACTGCAAGTCATTTAAACTGGCTGCTTATCATATTTTCTACTTTGCTCATGAGCTATGGAGAATGTCAGTCTCATGTCTTAATATTATTTTGGAAGCTCTAAGTGCTGCAGACATACAGTGAAGATGTGGCCTTCGTTGGAGTGTGGCAACACTTGGGGAGTTGTTAAGTAGTTTCTGGGTCTTTCCAGTCTGCTTTAAGATAATCACTGCTGATTCAAGGCAACTTATAATTTATTACTAAAGGAACTTGGATCTTAAAGAAGGTTCCCCATTATAATCCCTTTATGTTTTCCACATCATTATTCAGTGTTTAATAAAAGTTAATTGGTGTCTGGCCAGTACAGGTACTTTAAACTTTAATAATTCAGATTTTTAAAAGTCAAATACACTATGGTATAAATTATTCTGTTTGTTTAATGAGTAAAATAAGTTGTGTTTCTTTACTGGTATTTTACATTTATTAAAGATTAACACATTTTCCTCTTTCCCCAATCATACAAATGTAACTTTATTCTAATATTAGTAAATTAAATTCTTATATGTAGATAACAGGCATCTTATTTTCATTTCTATATGCACTTTTGGGAACATTTATAGTGTCAACCTCTAGCCACATGGATGCCGATTGCTTTGTATGTGTCTTCCTGAGCCATGGCGAAGGCAATCATGTTTATGCATATGATGCCAAAATTGAAATTCAGAAATTAACTGACTTGTTCAAAGGAGACAAGTGTCAGAGCCTGGTTGGAAAACCCAAGATATTTATCATTCAGGTAAGACCGATTATATTATCATTTAATTATAAAGTCTGTAGTTCTGTTAATGTGATTATGAAAGTCTAAAAGCCAGTTTTGAAGTAACTTTCTCCAGTAATTGAAAGACCCTTTTTGAATCCTGGCCAATCAGAATTGAACTTTGAGCTGTTAGTAATAATTTTTTCTTAATACTCACTGTCCTTATGACAAAAACCCAGCATTTGGATTGACATTCAATGTGACTCACATAATAAATAACCACTGTTATCTTGGTTATTTATCGTGACACCCTGACGGAGCCACTGGAAGAGGTAATCTACTGACTGAAGAGTGCCGTGCAAGACAGGCTGTTTAGACACTAAGTTGGTTGTTTGAGAGCTGGAGCATATAAGCCAATGGGAAGAATGCAAGAGTACAGAGTCTAGTCCTAGCCTGCTTCATGCCTTTCATATTTCCCCTTAAACCAAGATTGTTTCCCCCCTGCCAAATTGGTTGTAGAGATAAAAATATTTTTTGGCATGAATAATATCACTTGGCACATCAATAAGGATTTAAAACAATAGCAGCAAAAGAAGCCTGATGTTCCAGTTCTGAAGTTCTGTATTTCATGGATATGAAATAATATTGTACCACATGTCACATCTTGCCACAAAGCTTTGGCAAGGGGTGGGGATGGCTATAAGAAAAGTTAAGGATGATTGCCTAGTTTCCAGTTTGGAAACTGCATTGGAGTGTCTGCGGGACATAGAGTTGGGAATACAAGTCTAGAACCTAAGACAGGTGGCCTGGGCTGGAGAAATCAGTGGGTAATAGAAGCCATGGGTGTAGATGAGTTCATCCATGTCAACTATAGCCTGAAAAATAAGTGTGAAACAAAACTGAGGGACACCAATGAGGAATGAGCTGAGGAGGATAGACCAGAGCAGGAGAAAAATCAGGAAAAAATAACATGATAGTTTTCATAGAAAAGGAAGTGGCCGACATTGTCAGACACAGAACTGGAAAATAATAAGCTACTATGGGAGGACAGCCACAGAGGGAAATGTTTTGCCAAGTTACTTTCTCTATGCCTCAGATTCTTATTCCGTGAAATGGGGATAACAATAGCACCTGCCTTATGGGGTGGTTGTGGGGACAGAATGATCTGACCTAATGAATGAAAACACTTAGAAAAGTGCCTGGCAAGCCCTCCATGTAGACTAGCCCTTATTCTTACTGCAATTGACTTGGTAGATGATTTCAAGTTACAGGTGTTCTATATTATATTTAGGAAGGACAGTAGAAAATAAGGTCTGAAAATAAGCCTGATAATACTAAGATTAAAATTTCCCTGTAAAAATGGGATATTTCTGTTTATCTGATATCACTCAGGACTTTGTTTCTTTTGACATTTATAATTCTTTAAGTGACCATTTCAGAATTGATGGGTGCATTTATAATGCTACAACAGAATCTCATTAGGTCACCATATGAGTTTATAGGGCTGCTTTAGCAAAGTATCACAGACTGGATGGCTTAAACAACAGAAATTAATTTTTCTCACAGTTCTGGTGGCAAGAAGTCTGAGGTCAAGGTGTTGGCAGGGTTTGTTTCTACTGAGGCCTCTCTACTTGGCTTGTAGATGGTCCCAGTGCCTTGACATGGTCTTTTCCTCTTTGTATGTCTGTGCCCTAATCTCCTTAAGGATACCAGTCAGGTTGGACTAGGGCCCACCCATACGACCTCATTTTATCTTAATTACATCTTTAAAGGCCCTATCTCCAGATAGTCACATTTGAGGTAATGGGGTGAGGACTTCAATATATGAGGTTTGGGGAGGCACACAATTCAGCCTGTAACAATCACTTAAGAGTAGAATTAATGTTAGCTTCCAAGTGAGTCAGAATTAGTATTTAAGAATTTGAGAGGCTTCCAGTCAAGATGGTGGAATAGACAGTCCCCAGTGTCACTCTCTCCCACAAATCAACCAATTTACAACTATAAAAAAGCAACAACAGCCAAGCTGGGGCCACTAGAGCTGAGAGGAAGAGGAAGAGAGACCTACAGAGTGCATGAAGGCAGGAGAAGCCATGATGAGAGAAAGAAAGAACCACTCCGACCATTTCATGCCACGGCTGCTTTAAGGCTGGAGCTGCTGAGCACATGGAGCAGGAACTGGCAAAAGCTACAGCTGTGCCCTTTGGATGAAGTTGCTTGGAGGCAGCAGGGGAAAAGAGGGCCTTGGTGGCCCCCAAGCCAGCAGGACCACTAATAGGGTTCCCGTGGACCCACATAGGAGCGAGGAGCCACAACAACTGAAAAAAAGGAGCCACTCGGGCCGGTGAGTCATCACAAAGGACAAGCATGTGTGCTTCCCATCCCATGGGAAGTGTGTGGAGCATGGGCAGTGGGGGTGACAGGCCTACTGGGGGAATGCTGGGGCACAGCAAAGACAGCTGACTGGCACCGCAATCAGCGCAGGACCACTCAGAGGAGACTGGTCAGGAACATAGTATTGCATGGGATGCAGTTCGATGAAAAGAGTCAGACCCAGATCAGAGTTTCTACACAACCCAGGTGCACCTGGTCTCTGGATAGACAGAAGTACCTATAAAGTCAACAATTACAATCTGAGCTGCATAAAAAGCCTTCCCTAGGGAATCAGCAGCAAAGCGGCCATTTAGCTAAACCACACAGCTCAAGTACTGGTCCCCACAGGAAGTTCCCCCACTTTAGAAGCAAGCAAAGGACAAAAAATTAGTTCCGTTCAGACATACCACTAGTGCCTCAGGGCCCAACTGGGTACCTGAGGCATAGAGCCAGGGACCGGACCCCCCCCCCCAACTGGGCATACTGCCAGCACCTCAGGGCTTGCCCAGGGTCCTGTGGTATGGAGCTGAGGATCAGACCCCCCCCCACAGCCAGGCACACCGCTAGCGCCAAGGAGCATGCCAAAAAGTCACCTCCATGTGGGTGGCCCACCACAGCCACTACAATAACCACAGCTGCCACAAAAGCGGCTAGACACCATGACCAGCACACAGATGGTCCGCCAGCCACTGGAGTGCATTGACACAAGGAGAGTCAGCAGCAGAGACCAAAGAAAAGAGGATGTCTCTCTCCACAAAGCCCATTCCAGAGTGACAGAAGAAGCATCTGCTTTACGATTATATTGGGGGATGTGAACACACCTCTCAGCATTGGACAGATCATCTAGGCAACAAATCAACAGAGTAGGGGCCGGCCCATGGCTCACTCGGGAGAGTGCAGTGCTGATAACACCAAGGCCACGGGTTCAGATCCCTATATAGGAATGGACGGTTAGCTCACTGGGTGAGCTTGGTGCTGACAACACCAAGTCAAGGGTTAAGGTCTCCTTACCGGTCATCTTTAAAAAAAAAACAAACAAAACAGTAACCATTATTCTTTCAGAAGGAAAGAAGAAATCTAGGGTAACTAGAGGGGGAAAGGAGAAAGGGGGATAGGGATAGATTGGACAAGGGGCATAAAGAATAAGTATGATTTGTAACAATATATATATGCTAGTAATACTGATTTGATCAACATATGTCAAGTTGAACCCTCAAAATATGTATAATCAATTATGATTCAATAAAAATTAAAAAAAAAATTTTGAGACCTAAAGTGGGATCAGGAGGAGGAAGGAAAATTAATAGATGTCTTCTCAAGTCAGGCAGTGTTATTTTGACTTATAACAATTTATGGCATTAGCCAGGCAAGCAAAACCCAACTGGAAATATTCTGCCTGATTAAATAGGAACACTTAGGTAAATACTATCGTTTTTAAAAGAGAGGGTGACTTGGTGCTAGAGGATGTGGTTAATTCATAAGACATTTTAAAAACACAAGCTTTTTCTCCTCATAGTATACCTTTCAACCAACATAATTTGGTGTGTAGTTGGGAAAGCCAACTTTTTCAAACTTTAAAAGAAAACGTAGAGAAACAACTTTGTCAGCTTTAGTCCCCTGTAAACCTGAATGCTTCTGAACTGCTTATAATGTGGCTTCTTTTGTTAATCGACATGAAGGTGTACTGTAAACATTAAGCATTGGGAAGACAGCAGTAGGCAGAGGAGGTGGTTTTTCCTTCCTTGTCTTGTAGGCGTGTCGGGGAGACAAGCACGATGTGCCAGTCATTCCTTTTGACGCAGTGGATCATCGGACAGAAAAGGTGGAGGACACCAACATAACCGAGGTGGATGCAGCCTCAGTGTACACACTGCCTGCTGGAGCAGATTTCCTCATGTGTTACTCTGTTGCAGAAGGTGGGTGTGTAGGTGTTTAATACAAACATATAATTGGCTCTCCTGGCTACGTTCCTGTAAGTCTCACCTTTGACTGATTTTGGGTCAGGTCTTTCTATTGGGACATGGTGGTTCAATCCTGAAGCTCACACACTTAGAATGGATTTCTTTGAAAACTTGGCACAGAGTGTTAAATGAAAAGTGTAAAATGTCTTATGGAAAAATCATCCCTGAGAACTATGCCGATTAAAGCAACAAGTCTAATTATATTATTAGCAACCTGCTAACAGCTACTGATGGTGGTGGTACCATTGTGGTAATATTCAGAACTTATACTAATATAGCTATGAATTTTAAAGACATTTTTCAGTCTTAGTAATTGAATGCCAGAAAACTACAGTGACCTTTTTCTTCCCTGTCTTTTTTTAGGATATTATTCTCACCGGGAAACTCTGAATGGCTCATGGTACATTCAAGATTTGTGTGAGATGCTGAGAAGATACGGCTCCTCCTTAGAGTTCACAGAACTCCTTACGCTGGTGAATAGGAAAGTTTCTCAGCGCCGAGTGAATGATTGCAAAGACCCAAATGCAATTGGAAAGAAGCAGGTTCCCTGCTTTGCCTCAATGCTAACTAAAAAGTTGTATTTCTTTCCAAAATCTAAATAGGAGCTATTTAGTCTTATGACCTGTATTCAAAATGTGTTTCCTTTTTTAAATAAATAAGAATCACTAGGTTGAAGCATATGGTATAGCAATTTAAAATGTTTTAAGGTTTAATGTCCAGCAGAGAACTGCCTTTTTTTTTAAATAGTTCATGTTGGACATGGTGAAAATGTTTGATATGTAGAAATGAAATCCTCAGGGAATTACCATAAAGAAAAAATCTACAAGTGCTTGGAATATTTGACTTTCATTAGTAAACTGCAAGGTTATCCAAAATATCTGGTTGATTTATCTTGTATTTTGTGACTTTTTTTGATAAAAGTTTATTGTATAATGTTTTTAAAGGTTTTTGAAACCCAAGATTTGATCATTGTTTTGCCTTAATAAAATATTTGAAATTCATGTTTTATTAAATTTTTCTAAATCACATTCATTTATGTAATTTATAGTAGAATTATTTTCACTTGGTCATATAAGTGGTTTAATATTTTATCTACATTGGTTACTACACTTTGTATGACTTTAATGCTCACTTTTAAAAACATTAGCCTTCAAGAACTAATATGCCATTCTAAGGATGAGATATAAAACATAATCCTTAGCCACCATATGCTAACCACCTGCAAAATCTGATTTTCTGTCAGCATCTTTCATGTTAAGTTGCTATGCATTGTCTCACAATCATCACACCCATTCACAGACTATCATATTAACTGAAAAATAGATGTTACTTTTAATGTTCGGTTCTTATTGATATGATACATAAAATTTGTATAGTATTTATTGTTTTGTTAACTTGACAGAGGCTGAAGAAGGTTAGCTGTTTAGGCTTTAATAACTAGAACTGAGCTGTTAGCTCAAAAGGAATAGTTTGCATATGTTGTTTCAGCGGCAGCTCAAAAAGTACCAATTATACTTTATGGTTAGTGGGACATTTATATCTTTTTGATAAATAAGGGTGTCACTTCCAATTACTGCATATTAAAAAAAAAAAGACATTGGGCTGGCTGGTTTGCTCAGTTGATTAGAGTGTGGTACTGATAACACCGATGTCCAGGGTTTGATCCCTGTACTGGCCAGCCATCCTCCCCTACCAAAAAAATAAAAGAAGTTAATGACAAGATGATTTCAAATGAAGCTTAAGAATGGAAGTGAATGCCAGCACGCTGCCCATTTTACTTCCACATGGGTGTGAACACAGGACAGGCTGGTAGCAGCAGCTGCAGCTTGGACGGACACATCCAAGCCCTTTCTAGAATTAACAAGTCACGAAAATCCACAAACCAAAAATCTCAAGAACTTCAAAGAATACTTTTGTTTTACAAGAATTTATTAACTAAAAGAGACTGAACAGTCAAATTGAAATGAATTAGGGACTCAAAAATGTCCACTTTTCTAAGTTGCAAAATCAACACAATGGAAAAATCCAATGACGTTTAAAAACATAAGATTAATTCTTTTCATTGAGTTGCTCTACTTGGATTTGCAAAGAGAGAGAATGGCGCACCTGTTTCAGGGATTCTCTAGCCTGTCACGGGAAAAAGAAAAAGCACACGGTCAGAATGAGAAACATATTAGCGTTACTGCTTGAGAGGAATTCTATAAATTTAATGTCACCTTAAGGCAAAATATTTAAACCACTAGTGGCAAATAACTAAAATATTTCAATTTTATACAGATCATTTTTAAAACGTGAGCTTAAGGTTTCCAATTATCCTTATGCTTTTAAAAAAATAATCGTTTATTCCCCACTTGCGTAATGGTTTTTCCAGTTTATATTCTTTAAAAAACACCCTGTAACCTACCAGTTTCCCTTTTTCTCTCCACTTTATTACCTTAAAAATGATATTTACAAGGTATTATATTTAAAATTTTTAATGTGCCATCCTATAAACTAGCTGAAAAGAACATTAGTCTTCTTGGATTGGGTCATTCAAACGTAAGGGAATACATCCACACACACACACAAAGCAATACATATATATATATATATATATATTTTTTTTTTTTTTAAAGATGACCGGTAAGGGGATCTTAACCCTTGACTTGGTGTTGTCAGCACCATGCTCACCCGATGAGCTAACCGGCCATCCCTATATGGGATCCAAACCCGGGGCCTTGGTGTTATCAGCACCGCACTCTCCCGAGTGAGCCACGGGCCGGCCCAAAAGCATTATATTTTTATGTAATGATTAAATGAAATACTTTTTATTACAGAATTAGTAATTTCTTTTTTAAATGTCAGGGATGGGTAGTTTAGACAGTACAGATAAGAGGATGATTACTGACTATTAAACGAGCATGCATTGAGCAATGAAGGATATTTTTATCCAAACCTTTTGTTACAAAATTACTAAGAAAAATTAAAAATCCAGCTATGTGCTGAGAACTCACCACGTGAACAAAGTTAATGAGTAAATTGGGAGGCTAGAGATAAAAGCTGCCTAAGAAACAGATTGTGATAACGTACATAAGAGTACAGGCTCCCTAGTCAAACTTCTGGGTTCATACCATGGTTCCCTCACTTTCTAGCAGTGCACACTTTCTAGTAGGGAAAGTAACTTTAACAGCCTGTTTCCTCGCCTGAAAGATGGGGGAAAGATGAAAGGAGGAATACCATAATAATTCTTCTATCTTTAAGGAGAAGAAACTTATAAATACCTTTAGAGAGTTTTAAATTCCTTATCACAGTGTTCATCTTCCTAAAATGCTACTTTCTATTATTTGCTTAGAAGCAGATTGAAAACTTTTATTTTACTATCTCAAAGTCATTTAAGACATTTTCAAACACATATCTAAAGCTATCCCCATGTAGGATACTGAAGACAAGAATAAAAATGTAAGATATGAAATGAGTATTAGATATGTCAACTATTTCACTAAACAATCCCACAGTACACAGAAATCTATCGAGGACCAAGATTTAACATATGAAGATGAGCCACCAATTGTATTTCCCTAAGTTCTGGCTCCCAAGCAAAACCAGCTATAAAATGTATTTGCAGTAAGATACCTTAGCAAGGTCTTCTTTTAATTTGTTGTATTGCTCCACGTCAAAATGCTGTTGTTTTGATTTCTTATGGAAGAACTGAAGAAAGTGCCTACTCTTAATAGCTGAGTAAGTATAATCCTTAAAAAAAAGAGAGAGAAGAAATAACATGTTTTGCTTCTGCAAGAAAGACACTTGACTCAGCAACACCAAAGCAAAGGAAGGTGGATGAATGAGTGAAATATCTACAGGGGCTATCAGAGTTGGCATAAGCCAACACAAGTAAAATATTTAGTCTCATTTGAGGTCAGCTGCTCCTTTCAAAAGCAAGCAAGATAGGGAGAGAAATTATACACATAGAAAAAGAAGGAAGAAAAAAAAAGGGAGAGTTTTAGGAAAATAACCACAAGACCAAGCTAAAGTTACTGGGTATTTTGCAATACAAATTCAATTTTATTTATAAATGAGGGCACAGAGAACATAAACTTGACATATTTATCCCAATGGAGAAATCTGTGTGTTATACTAATTTCTCTATAGAGATTATACACAGTTTCTCTGTGTTATATGTAAGTTTCCATCCAGCCTTGTGTAAAACAAAAAACTTACCAACTTATAAAAACCCAGATAGCAGTAACTCAGTAAATAAAAAGACTTTAATGCTCATTACTTGACTTGAATAAGGAATTCTTTGCAAACATGTTCTTACTTACTATTTTCCTAACAAACTACTCACCTGTTGAGTGACTATGAAGTATGCAAAAAACACCATGGAATTTGCAAATGTGATGAAGTATGTAACTGGTTCCATGATATCCCAGGAGTACACCCACCAAGTGAGCCAGGCCAATGCCCCACCCTGAATGGACAGCAGTGCTAATCCAGCCCATAGGAGTCTGCTTGATTTGGCTTCTGAGCCAGCTTCAATTCTAGCTTTCTCCTGGAGAAAGAGTGGGAGAGGGGACAACTGTTAATTCTGTTTACAAGTGTGCCAACTTAAGGGGATAAAATATCCAGGAAAGAGGAACATTTGAACAAATGCACATCTGCATTTCTTTAAAGAGATTAGATATATGGAAAAACTGAATTTATAAAACATACATTAATGAGTAATTACTGATTTCCAAATCAGTTCATTAATAAATCTTTTTTAAATTATAAAGGTAATACCTGTTCATGTAAAAAAAAATAGTACAGAAGGGTGTACAATGAAAAACTCAGAAGTCACCCTCTGAACCCTAACTAAAATCAGAGGCCTATTTTCTTTGACCCAGTAATTCCATTTCTGGGAATTCATTCTAGAAGCACACCTGCACACAAGTGATTCATTACAGACTCATTCTTAATTGCAAAAGACCAAAAATAATCCATATGTCCATCAAGACATTATGCAACTGTAATGAGGAAGCTCTCTATGTACCAATATGGAGAAATTTCCAGTATATATTAGTAGAAAAGGTGAAAACAGTGCATAGTAGCGTACTTCCCTTTTCTGAAAAAGAAAAGAGAATAACAATATATTTGTACTTGTTTATACATAGATAGAGAAAATCTGAAATGATTCATATGTGTGCGGGATATGGTAACTGGGGGGATAGGGTGGGAGGAAAGCTTTCCAATGGGTACTTTTTCAGATTTTTAAAATTTTAATTCAAGTAAATACATTAAAGTTTTTTAATGAAAAAAATTAAAATGGTAAATAATGCAAAAAAGTCCTCTCTGCCATCCCCGAAATACCCTTAGAGGTAATCACTATTAAAAGTTTTTTTACATCTTCCAGAAACTTTGTATTCATATACAAAGATACACATATACTCTCCCATTTTTAAAATATCACAAATGGAATTATAGGTTTAAAGAATGCAATTAAAACAAACATACCCTCCCCCAACACCCCCCCAAAGAAATTAAAGCTATTTTTTTTCCCACCATTGATAAACTTCAGATGTTAGGAAGCCATTACTAACTTTCCAGCTGCAATTCTGTTAAGTAGAGCTGGGGCCCTGGGCCTAGAAGAAACTGAGGTAGCACTCCAGCTCGTGCATTCAGCTCATACTTTACTTATTTACAGAGACATTATGGCTGATTCGTGGAGAGGAAGCACAGCACAGAGTTTTAAAGAAGGCAGCTCTGGAGTCAGACCTGAGTTCAAGTCCTGACTCTACCACATATTACCTGCAGCATATGGATTGAATTGTATCCTCTCAAACTTTAATGTGTTGGACACTTGGTTCCGACTGTGACAGTGTTAAGAGCATGAGAAATCCTATTATGGTAGCTGAAAGGAGGGGACTTGAAGAGGTGATTAGATTGTGAGGACCATGCCATAGTGAATAGTTTAATGGTGGTCATGGGCGTGGCTCTGAGGGCTTTAAAAGGAGAGCACATGAGAGTACATGAGCCATATTCAACATGTGATACCCTGAGTGGCTGTAGTCACTACCAGGAGAAGGCCCTCACCAGATATGTTCCCTGGACTTCAGACTTCCCAGCCTCTGAAACCATAAGCAATAAGTATTGTTTCTTTATAAATTTATATAATACTCAGTTCTGGGTATTCGCTATAAGCAACAGAGATGGACTATTACCTAAATACCTCCATTGCTAGGTTTCCTCATCTAAAAAATGAAGATTCTAGTACCAAACTCACAGGCTTGTTGTGAAGATTAAAAGAGAAAATAAGCATAGATAAAACATTCAGAAAAATGCTCACATGAGGAGCACTCAATAAATAATAGATATTATTTTCAAATAGACTCAATTGAGATGCTTCCTAACCTGTTCAAGGGGCTGCAGCTGTTTCTTCAGATGGTCAATTTTCTCCAGTAAATGGCGCTCTCTCTTTTTCTGAAACTCTTCTAAATGCAAGACTGTAAACAGTCTATAAACCAAGGATTTCATGTTTTCCATCTCAATGGCATGCTCATTACTCAGTTTTTCTGAGGAAAAACACAGGGAAACATAAGGCAGTCACCACACTTTTCCTCCAGGGTCTATAAGTCCCAGGAACAAAATCTGAGTCCTCATGCCTGGCCACCTGAACCAACTCCTAGGGGGGCATTTGGTATTGGCCTTTCTTCCTGGTTTGGATGATTCCATTAGTCTCTCTCACATAAAGACAGTCTGGAATGACACACTACCAGACAGTAGGTTTACAATTCATCGTTTTGTCTTCTCTTCTATTGTGATATGACTTTTGCTGTTTCTTTAAAAATATGCATACAAGAAAGATAAGAGTATCTATCTACCAGAATGCAGGTGAATACCTCACCTTAGCTTGTAACACATTAGTTAATGGGTTCACTTTTATACTTGAGTTCAGCCTAAGATCCCTCTCCCTATCCCCAACCATCTTTCCAAAAGTTATTTTAGGAGCCATAAGGGAAGAAAGCTGGTATACAAACACATAGACAAATGGATAACATACATTTGAAAAGCAGTTCAAGTACATGTTCTTTTCAACAAGAGGAGTCACAGTAAACAACAAAGTGTAGCTCTGCAAAGCAGTTCATATATACATTTTTTTAAAAAGGGAGCACAGGTCAGAATATGCCACCACAAAATATGCCACTTTGGCATAAGGATTATTTTGAGCTGAAGGCAGTTAAGAAGCAGCAGATCCAAGAAAAAGCTCTCTAGCCTACCTCTCTCTGCCTAAAAGCAGGACACAAATTTACAAAGGAATCTCTCCTTGCCTCTCTACCAGAACAAAGATTGATTATCGCAGACTACTTTAGACCCATATCAGCATGGAAATGGCACCAGAGCAATCTACCTAATAAGACAGTTCTAAGCCACCTCTGAGAATTACTCATTCACTGGATATCTCCCATGTATATTTGAAATATACACATTAATAAACTATTGTCTATTTTTCTCTTGTTCATTATTTTTTGTTACAGGGGCCTGTAAATTATTTTTTTCAACCCCTATAGGCGTCACAGTGTTTCAGAGTTTTTAACATAGAGTTCTCTTGATTACGTATTTCTCTTATCCTTCCTCCTCTCTGGGTTTATAGTCCACATAAAATCAGGCTGTAGTGATACCTTTCTGAGGGTTCCAACTATTCACCATCACTGTGACAGAACCTAAGGGAAGAGGACAGGGTGAGAGGAAGGGAAGAAGACCTTCCTTCTCGGCAGCAGCAGACAAGGGAAATAATGATCCTACAGTTGGTATCAGCCCAGTGATTTTCCAGTTCATGCAGTAGTCTTGAAGCTATTTTTCTTCCATCACTGCTCAATTCTTCAAGACTGTGTTGTGGTCTTTAACCACTTCCACATTTTACACTAAAGCTGTTACAGAAGGATGAAAACTAAAAGTTCCCTTCTAGGCTTTTGGCTTTTGAGATCACAGAAGAGTCATAGTTACCATGAAAAATATATTGATATTTAAAAGGTCTATATATAGAAGAAAGGCATAGATGGGGCACAATTTTGTCCAAAGCCATGGAGTGTAACAAAGATAAATCTGGACACTAAAGCAGTGAAGATAGATTTTATTAATAACTACTGCAATAGACAAGAGGGTTCGGTGTGAACTGAACTCAACTTTAATTTGTGCAGAGCTAACTGGGCACTTTAAAGGGAGAACAAGGGAACAGGCAGAGAGAACTGTTGTGGGGTCTTGAATAGAGTCAGGGAAGTCGAAATGTATAGAAAGTGGGAGAAGTTGGTTAATGTGACTAGGCCGTCTGGGTCTGTTAACTGCACTTACCCAGAGGAGAAACAACCTTCTTGTATCTTTATGACAGAAGGCAGTGATGCAAGTCAGAGCAGGGCACTCAATGGTTGGGAGTGAAAGCAAGAGTTATGTCCTTGCATGTTTGCATTTCAAAGAGAGGCTCTCAGGTCCTCCAGAAGACAAGTCTAGGAAGTAAAATATTTACACCTCAAAGAGGGAGAGAAAGGTTTATAATTGCAAGTTTTCTAAAGCAGCTGCTTATCTTAGTCCTTTTTGTGTTGCTATAACAAAATACCACAGACTGGATAACTTATAGAGAATAGAAATTTATTTTCTCATGGGTTAAAGAGATGGAGAAAGATATACAGGTGGAGCATTCCTAATCCAAAAATCCTAAATCTAAAATGCTCCAAAATCTGAAATGTTTTGAGCACCAACATGATGCTCAAAGGAAATGCTCATTGAAAGATTTTGTATTGTCACATTAAGGATGCTCGACCAGTAAGTATATAACGCAAGAATTCCAATTGGAAAAAAATCTGAAATCCCAAACACTTCAGGTCCCAAGCATTTCTGATAAGGGATACTCAATCTGTATCATGCTAACACTAATCAAAAGAAAGCTGGAGTAATTATATTAATTTCAGACAGAACAGACATCAGGGCACAGAAAGTTATCAGGGATAAAGAAGGGGCATTAAACAACGATAAAAAGGTCAATTCTCTGTGAAGATAACAATCCTTAATGTGTATGCCCCTAACAACAGAGCACCAAAACATAAAGCAAAAACTGATAGAACTGCAAGAAGAAATAGATAAATCCACGATTATAGTTGCAGACTTTAACACACCTCTATCAGAAATGAACAGATTCATCAGGCAGAAGATCAGGAATTACACAGTCGAACTCAACAGTGCCATCAATCAACTGGATATAAGTGACATCTATAGACTACTCTATCCAGCAACAGCAGAATTCACATTCTTCTCAAGCTCACATGGACTATTTCACCAAGACAGACCACATTCTAGGCCATAAATTACACCTGAACAAATGTAAAATAAGAGAAATCATACAATGTATGCTCTCAGATCACAATGGAATTAAACTGAAAATAACAGGAAGATAGCTGGAAAATTCCAAAATACTCAGAGACTAAACAACACACTTCTAAATAACACATGGATCAAGGAAGAAATCACAAGAGAAATTTTTAAAATACTTACAAATAAATGAAAACAGTGAATATGAATATTAGAAAAGAAAAAAAGACCTAAAATAAAAAAATCTGAACTTCGACCTTAAGAAACTAGAAAAAGAAGAGTAAATGAAATCCAAAGTAGGCAGAAGAGAAAATATAATAAAAATTACAAGAAGAAACCAATAAAATTGAGAACAGGAAATCAATAGAGAAAAATCATTGAAGCCAAAAGCTGGTTCTTTGAAAAAAAAAATCAGTTAAATTGATAAACTTCTAGTTAAGTAAGAAAAAAGAGAAACAAATTACTAATATCAGAAATGAAAGAGGGGACAGATCCCAGGGACATTAGGAGGACAATAAAGAAATACTATGAACTATATGCCCACAAATTCAATAACCTAGCTGAAATGTATTAATTCATTGAAAGATAACAATGTCAAAACTCACACAAAAAGAAACAATCTGAATAGCCCAATATTTATTAAGAATATTGAATCAATAATTAATAAACTTCCAACAGAAGCACAGGCCCAGATGAATTCCTTGGTGAATCCTACCAAACATTTAAGGAAGAAATTTCGTAAGTTCTCTACAGTTTCTTTCAGAAGATGGAAACAGAGGGAATACCTCCTAATTCATTCTATGAGGCCAGCATTACCCTAATACTAAAACCAGACAAAGACAGTTTAAGAAAACCATAGACCAGTATCTCTCATGAATATAGATGCAAAAATCCTCAACAAAATATTAGCAAATCAAATCCAACAATGTATAAAAAGAATCATATACCACATTTAAGTGAGATTTATCCCAGTTATGCAACACTGGTTCGACGTTCAAAAATAAATGAACGTAATCCATCACATCAACAGACTAAAAAAGAAAAATCACATGATTATATAAATACATGCAAAAAAAGTGTTTGACAAAAATCTAGCACCCATGCATGATGAAAACTCTCAGCAAACCAGGAACAGAGGGGACCTTCCTCAGCTTGTGAAAGACAATGTCGAGAGAATGAGAAAACAAGCTACAGCCTGGGAGAAAATATTTGCAAAAGACATCTGATACAAGACAGTTATCCAAAACACTCAAAGAATTCTTAAAAGTCAAAACAAAAAAACCGAACAATCCAAAAAAATGAGCAAAAGATCTGAATAGATACCTCACCAAAGAAGATACACAGATGGTAAATAAGCACATAAAGCAATGCTCAACATCATGTAATTAGAAAATTGCAAATTAAACCAACAATGAGATATCACTACAAACCTATTGGAATGGCAAATATCCAAAACACTGCCACCATCAACTGTTTGCAAGAATGTAGGGCATCAGGAACTCTCATTCATTGCAAATGGGAATGCAAAATGGTACAGCCACTTTGGAAGACAGCTTGGCAGTTTCTTATAAAACTAAACATACATTTACCATATGATCCAGCAATCATGCTCCCTGGTATTTACCCAAGTGAGTTGAAAACTATGTCCACAAAAAACCTGCTCACAAATGTTTATAGCTGCTTTATTCATAATTGCCAAAACTTGGAAACATCCCATTCAGTAGGCAAATGGCTAAATAATAGTACAATAGACAACAGACTACTATTCAGTGTGGAAAAGAAATGAGCTATCAAGCCCTGAAAACACATGGAAGAACCTTAAATGCATATTACTGAGTGAAAGAAGCCAATCTGAAAAGTCCAAATGTAAGACATCCTGGAAATGTCAAAACTACAAGAAAGTAAAAAGATCAATGGTTACCAGAGGTTGGGGGAGGGAGGGACGATGAATAGGTGGAGCACAGAGGATTTTTAGAGCAGTGAAACAAACTATTCTATATGATACTATAACAGTGGATACATGTTATTCCACATGTGTCACAACCCACAGAATGTATAACACCAAGAGTAAATTCTAATCTAAACTATGGACTTTGAGTGATAATGATGTGTCAATGTAGGTTCATCAGTTGTAATAATTATACCACCCTGGTATGGGATGTTGAAGGGGGGTGGTGGGCAGAGGGTATATGGGAACTCTGAACTTTCTGCTCAATTTTGTTGTAAAACTAAAACTCCTTTAAAAAATAAACTGTTTTTTAAGGAAGAGTTAAGAGCTGTACAGCAATCACACTTGAATTCATGATTTTCAGGCCTACCTCTCTCTTAACCCAATAATGTCAGATTAAGCATTCAAGAACCTAAGGTAAAGTCTTAAAAGTCTAAAAAGAGTATATGAAACTAAAAGCCCTGCTAGGAAACTTTTAATGATCATTTGTGCCCCTGCTATACATAAAAGCTTAAACACTGGTTCTCCAAAGCCTTCTTGGTCATTTAATTAACTAGAAAGATTCTTAAGATAAGCTTTGCTCCCTGTAAAAGCCCCACAGTGGAAGGAAAAAGTTAATTCAGTTGGTTAACTGTTTCTTACCCTTCTTGGGGCATTGCACATCATATGCTATTTTATTAATGACAAGTTTAAAATCATTCATTAGCAAAATATCCATCAAGGTTGAAGTTGGAATCTCGCCACCATCTGAAAGAGATAACATAATGCAAAAATATACCTTTGTTTTAGAACAATATAAGAACCATTTCCAACACATAGAAAATTACTAGCCCAGGTCTCTGCAATATAGTAGTGGACATTTGCTTTTTGGTAGGCTCCCCAAAACCCAAATACTATTCCCACTCAGGGGAATCCTCTCCTGTTGCTCTGCCTCCCATTTTATTGGACCAAATGAAACAGGCAGGCACTTTCTCAGCCACACACTGTCAGCTGGATGGAATCCCCTGGTGAAACTATATCTGCAGGTCATGCAAAGATTCAGGGGAGGTGGAAACTCTTCACAGAAAGGCCAGGGCAGTGTTCCTGTGGGTGTTAGCAGTAGAGCCCATCAGGTGGTTCCCGAGCTAACCTGGTTTCTGCTAGTGTCTCTCCCAGTTCCCACCCACTTCAGAGCCTGGCTTTCTGTCACTTTGGATCTGCGAGCCTGTTGACATAACTCCCCTGCTTAGCTAGTCCATTTCTGCTGCTACAGTCAAGCTCCTTACTGGTACATGTAGGCACACAAGTAGTAACATTTTTTAAAAGCCTGCCTTCCTCTTACGTTTAATTACTAGAGTCAAATTGAAAGGGACCTTAGCCAGAAAAACAACCATCTTTGGGGTAACTAAGACCAAGCAGAATATTTCAGTCAGCCCTTAACTTGGAAACTGATAATTATCAATTCCTTGAGGTTAGCAGAATAATTGAGAGACTGCAGGGAGATGAAATCACCGCCTCTTATGTTGATTTACTGCAGAGGGGGTGCTCCTACAATTAAGGACTGAAACTAAGTTTCTTGTTTTTCTTACCTCTCTAATTGGCTTCAAACAAGAGGAGATAAAAGAGAGAGGCAAGACAACCTAGCTGGTTGTAATAAACTACCTCTCTTGCTTAAAGGCAAACTGCACTCACATTACTTAGAAATCCAAGTCAGATATTTTTATGATGTTTGACTAAGGTTATTATCCTTGAGCTCTCCCTAGGAGATAAGGACTCCAACCTCGAGGTAACATTAAGGACTTGACAGTGACCAGACGCTGTGACGCTGAAGTTTCCAATCCATCATGGGACCCTGACATTTGATGCAGACCATCTATTGCTCCCAGACTCTTCCCCCACTTTTTTTTTTTTTTTTTTTTTTTTTTTAAAAAAAAAAAAAAAAATTTTTTTTTTTTTTTTTAAAAAAAAAAAAAAAAATTTTTTTTTTTTTTTTTAAAAAAAAAAAAAAAAATTTTTTTTTTTTTTTTTTTTTTTTTTAGAACAAAGACCCTTACCTAATCTTCCTGCCTCTTCCCCTTTATAAACTCCAGAAGAGGCATCAGAAGGCGGGATGATTTTAGCCTAGTCATCCCCCAGGTGCCAGTTATTTGAATAAACCTTCTAATCCTTGCACCAACTTCTGGACTTTCGAGTCATTTGTTTAATGTGAGAGGGCAAGCCGAGCCTGGTCTGGTGGTAACAAACTGATTTGCATTAGTTAGAAACTTACTTACCAAACAGCACCAGAAACCACTGCCACACTGGCTCCCTGACCTTTCTAACTTGGGGGGAAAATGCAGAGGCAAAACCTCAAGAAGGTGGGGTATCAGAAAGAGTAATGAACATAATCAAACCTAAGAAACAAATTTGAATTTGTGTGGTTTATTTTGTGGACATGGAGAGCAGCAGGAGAGATGGCAATAGTAATTTCAAATATCCTAGGAACATTTCAGAAAAAAAAAAAAAAAAGTCCTGGAAATTTTTAATCTCGATGTGCTTTGCACAGCTTCTCATATAGCCTAGCTTTTGTTACTACATTTTTGAACTAAATTTTAATGTAACCCAGGTGCTAAGAAAACAAACTTACTGAACAAAAAGCAAAAAACTGGCCCTGGGTAGGGATTTCTCTATCATTTTTCCTGCAGAACAGTCCACATATAATTACATGAAATAAAGTCCAGGAAAATGCTGGATATGTATTTTCTCCAAGCTGGGTGTTTGCTTGGCTACATTCAAACAGAGCTACATTAATATGCATGATGACAGGAATACTGCTAGTGAAATCAGGAAGAACCTGATTGCCTGCCTCCAGTCTGGCTCCTGGTAGTTCTTTTGTTCCAGAAGGCAGCAACTCAAATTTGCACCTGGGTCTGTTTCTAGAACTTGGCTGTTTGGGTTCCTCTTCATCAACTGGGGTGAGATCATTTTCCAAAAAATTGCCAAATAATTCAACCCACTCAATGGGCAAAAACTGTGACAAGCTTAGGACACTCTTTTCAAGCCCAAATGAAACACAGGCAGATTCTACCCAGAGAAAATCTTTTTTAAAAAATCAGCAACACACCAATTGTTTTACCCGACTTTCCAAGTGTCATTTAAAAATTTACATTTAAATGACTTCAAACCAGCTCCTTAAAATATTACTATAAAATGAAATCACTAAGTATGATTTCTCAGTTGAAATAATACATTATCCTTTATACAAATGTACGAACAGCAAAAGACTGACGTGAAACATTTTAAAGGTTCTAATAATAGTGCTGAATTTTTCATGTATTCTTGGGTAAGTATTGATTTAAACCCTCAATAAAGTGTTTTCACTCAGTCCAAAGAACCCCTTTTCTCTTAAGATTTCTAGTCTCTTTCTTTGTGCTTTCTGTTTCAAAGCTACTCCAATTATTTTTACAAATGAGCAAGGTCGACATCAATCATTGTTTTAACCTCTCATTTCATACATTCAACAAATACTTATTGAGTACATACCACTAGGCAAGCACTGCTCATTTCAACCACTTCTGAGTTCTAGATTTGCATCTGCCTACTCTTAGAACTTCAGAAAGGCAGGCCCTGTCCCAGTGTGTAAGGCCCTTGGACATACTCCTGTGCCAGGGGGAATGTCTACCTACTTCAGGGATGACATACTAGGAAGCCCATTGTGGCCAAAGGGCTAAAACCTTATTCTATGCTCCAGGTTTTAGCCGGAAGAAAGCTCTCCTTCCAGTTAAATCTATAGTCCTTGCAATAACCTACAACAAGCCTTTCCAGATCTGCCCCTCCCTGTGTCTCAGAACTCTTCCTCCTTCCGCCCAGCTCCCTCCTTTGCAGGCACACTGGAGTCTGCTCCCACCCCCAGGGCTCTACCTCCAGACCTCTCCTATCTACAAAGCCTCCTTCTTCATCTCCTCCAGGTCTTTGCTCAAATGTGACCTTAGCCAGTGTTACAGGCTGAACAAAAGTGACTCCATTTTGTTAAAATTCTAAATTAAAAAGTTTTTTTTTCTTATTCTTGTAACCTGAACTTCATAGCTTGCAGCTGGACATTAGAATACAGTGATTCTTGGGGCTGGCCCGTGGCTCACTCGGGAGAGTGCGGTGCTGATAACACCAAGGCCACGGGTTCGGATCCTATATAGGGATGGCCGGTTAGCTCTATGGCTGAGTGTGGTGCTGACAACACCAAGCCAAGGGTTAAGATCCCCTTACCGGTCATCTTTAAAAAAAAAGAATACAGTGATTCTTGTTCACATGATTGCTAGAACATAATGACTCTCGCTCACACTGTACACAGATTATACAAGAAATTATTAACCCAGGTGGTCATTCTTTACGAGCTTACTAACTAGATCTTTCTGAGGTTAACAGGAACTGAATCCGTGACTTGACTTCATGGAGGATGGTCACCATAACTCAGCTCCCACCCAGGACGTTTTCTGATGTTTATCTGCAATTTTACGATTATGCCTGCAAGTCCCTTAGATCACCATGAATCAGCACCCCCTTCCACCGATCCCTATAATAGCCTTTGGCAAGTCTGGGAAAAGTGGAGATGGTCTTTGAGACATGAATCCACCATTTCCTTAGGCTGCTGGCTTCCTGATTAAAGGCTACCTTTCCTTACACCAACACTTTTCTCAATTATTGGCTATTGAGCTGCGAGCAAATGGACCTTGTTGAGCAAACAAGCCCTCTCCCACCCACACACTCCCCCCATCTCCTACTTTGCTTTATTTTTCTCCATAACACATACTATCTAACATAATATAGAATGTATCTCTTTGTTTCCTTCTCCTAAAATTTAAGCTCCCTAAGGGCAGGAGTTTTTATCTCTTTTGTAATTTGCTCTACCTCTACCATTTAGAACAGTGCCTGGATTATGTTAGGTGCCCAACAAATATTTGTTGAATGAATAAATTCTTTAATCTCCATTTTTCTAACTTCTGTATCTATCCCTTAATTTGTTTTGAACTTGGACAGGGAAGAAAAATGCGAACCTCCTTTTCAGAACTGCAATAGTAATAATCAACCTTCAAATACGCTTATTCTAAGCATTTAATATTACAATAAAATAACTATGCAAATTTATTAATTTATATTTGTAGCCTCTGCTAGGCTAAGGTAAAGAATATTTTATCCTATTTTAGGGGCAGTTGGTCTAAGACTATTTCAGACCATGAGAACATAAAAGCTATATCCTAAATGTAAAACATCTAAATGATTAAATGCCTCTACTGGTACTTCAAAAAAATCTATATTCTTCCTAAGAACTAATTATGTCAAAAAATATACTAGATTGCAATTGCTTTAAACCAAAGATAAATAAACTATTTCTGTATTTTAATTACTCACTGGCTATTTTAATCATTGAAACTGCATTTTGTTTTCTAATTATTCAAATTTTGCTGAAAATCACATGTTAATACCTGTGGCACTAAAATTTTCTCAAAAGAAAAAATCTCGGGCTGAGTTTATTAAATAAGTAACTGAAATTTACATTAAACTTATTCCATTAATTTTTTACTCAATGGAATTTTTTTCTCTAAAATATTCTGAAAGCCAATTTTATTTTTATTTTATTTATTTATTTATTTTTTGACCGATAAGGGGATCACAACCCTCAGCATGGTGTGGTCTGCACCACGCTCACCCAGTGAGCACACCGGCCATCCATATATAGGATCTGAACCCGTGGCCTCGGCGCTAACAACACCGCACTCACCCGAGTGAGCAACGGGGCCGGCCCCTGAAAGCCAATTTTAATATTACTTCCTGATGGGACTCCAGTCTTTTATTTATTTATTTATTTAAATTTTAATTTATCAATATACAGTATAATTGATTTTCATGTCCCTTCACAAATTTCTCCTTTTCCTCCCTCCCTCTTCCCCCTCCCCCTCATCAACATATCTGTTCACTTGTCTTCAAGTTCAAGGAACTGTTGTTATTGTTGTGTCTTCTTTCCCCCTGCCCACCCCCCTCCCCCATTTGTGTATTTGCTTATTTATTTTTATTAGCCCCCACAAATAAGTGAGAACATGTGGTATTTCTCTTTCTGTGCTTGGCTTATTTCACTTAATATAATTTTCTCTAAGTCCATTCATGTTGCTGCAACTGGCAGTATTTCATTTTTTTTTTATATAGCAGAGTAGTATTCCACTGTGTAGATATATACCACATTTTCTATATCCACTCATCCAATGATGGGCATTTAGGCTTGTTCCAACTCTTGGCTACTGTAAATAGTGCTGCAATAAACATGGAAGTACAGGTATCCCTTCGACATGATGATTTCCATTCCTCTGGGTATATTCCCAGCAGTGGAATAGCTGGGTCATATGGTAGATCTAACTGCAATTGTTTGAGGAACCTCCATACCATTTTCATTAAATTTATTTTTTAATAGTAGTGATGTGTAAAAAATGAAGGAATCAGTAAAGGCCAACCATTTATTATATGATAAATTATACACTTCTTTCTAGAAAAGTAAAGAACCAAAACAAAGGTTCAGAAGAAGATAGAGAAAAGCTTTGGGACGAAGCTGTAAAATATATGCACCTACCTGTCGTGAAGATGGCTGCAGTTTTGACTCCTTTATCTTCACTTTGTAGGTCCTGAAGGAAAGAACCAACTGTTGACAACAATGGCTTGACTACAAATTGACAGCGTTCGTGTCTGGATGGCAAAGTAAGTGTTATCAAGGGAAGGCCGTGTCTATAATTAACTGTTATTTCTGTTAAGAAAAAAAAGATAGCATAGGAATGGATAAAATTTACTTTAAATTACAAGAATTCTGAAAGGAATGCTTAATCATGGAATTCACAAGCCTCTGAATTCCTACAAAAATTTGTATTGATCTTATAGTATCTTCATTATACTACAGTTTACATATTCCCTACCACTCTGTAACATTTTATTGTAGCATGTACCATGCTACTTTATGATTATCTGCTTAAAGTTTTCCCAGGTAAAGAGTTAAGTTCTTGAGGGCAAGACACTATTTCTTATTCATCTGTAACTGCTGTGGTGGGGGTTTGACTAAAGACATTGAAGATATTATGGGAGCAGAAAACAAATGCACTGAACCCAATCGGGGGGTGGGATGGGATGGGGTGGGAAAAGTGCAAGAAATGTCTATTTTGCTCAAAACTCAAAGCTCTCACTTTATTTGGAAGAATAGAAATCAATGAGCATATGAATCAAAAAGTGATAATAAAGCTTACCATCAGGTGGCACCACTGTACTATAAAGGTGTGATTGGTAGTACTTCAGATTTCCATCCAGCTTCACACACAAAACCTGTAAGAAAGATAATTTTTTTTTAAAGAGAAAGTTGAAATAAGTGTCTTTACCAGAAGATTCTTTTTTACCTTATATGACAAGTATAATGAAAAATTCAACCTCCCATGCATCCCCAGGTAAAAGCCCTTAGAAAAGCTCACTAAATCTTTCTGGCCATATGCTTGCCTGCTACTATATATGCTGCAGCAGTAACACACATGAACAGGACTCTCAAATTGGAAGGTGGGGATCCCAGAATTACGTAAGAATTTTTAATTTCGCTTTTTTCCTTTTAGGTAATAATCTAAAATAAATGGATATAAGCATATATATTCTAGATACGTGCTTCTCAAAGTATGGTACCCAGAACAGAATCAGCAGCAACCTGTTGGAGCTTGTTAGAAAAGCAGAATCACAGACTCAATCATGACTTACTGAATTAGAATCTGCATTTTAACACAACCCCCAGGTGATTCACATGCTCTAGATCTGTGCTGTCCAATATGGTAGCCACTAGTCACATGTGGCTATTTAAATTAATTAAAATTACACACATAAAAAATTCAGTTACCACTGCCACATTTCAAGTTCTCAATAGTTCTGTGTGCCTAGTGGCTATCCTATTGGACAGCACAGGAATAGAACATTTCCATCACGACAGAAAGTTCTACTGGACAGCACTGCTGAGTCTACCACATCTGAATGGCCAACTCACTATAGAACCTGTTTTTATGACTTGCACTGGTGTTTGTGTTTACAATTTATTGGTGCTTAATGAAGGCCAAATGATATCATAGTGCACTGTGTAAACAAAGACATTGTGGTAGAAGAACTGAGGAACTGGTTCAAAGGTATTTGGAATTCAAAAAGAACTTGTGCCAGAGGAATTAGTATCACAGTCACAACATCGCGTCTGTATCATAGTGATTCAATTTTTTTTACTGCATCATTTTGAAATAGTTTATTAGCAATCAGTTGCCAGTAACTGCAATAAAGAATTCTTTTATAAAGTGTATTTTTCAAATTTTCAGGATTTGAAGGTACACTCTTAAAATAATAAAGCAGAGGTCAGAAGTGTGTTGTTACTGTTACGAAAAATAAAAAAAGATGACAATGACTCAAATGATGTTCCATTATGGTCAAAATCAAAAGAATCTCATCAATAAGTGAAACAAAACATTCATTCAAGTACATATACACATTCTAGTATTCAATACAACATAAGCAATTAGTTTCAACAAAACATCATCTATCTCTTTAAGGTTGTTCATTTGAGTTTTATTTCTAAAAATGTAACTCACTAATAAGATGAGAAGAAAAGGCAGATTATCTCTTAAAATTGATGCAACTCTCAATAAATAAATATACACAGAAGTCCTCCAAGTTTGGATAATGGATATTACAATACTGTCCATTACTTTTAGTGAAACTACATCAAACTGAGAAAAATGTGTACACTTGAAAACACATCAGAAGTAATTCCCCATCAAAATATTTTAAATGATGCAAATGAGTAAAGTTTTACTTCTCCACAATCCCACAAGTTTCCCCAGAGGCAATCACTGTTAGTGGTTTGGTGTGTATCCTTCCAGACTTTTTCTATATGTACAACCTTTATATATGAGTTAAATTTTACGCTAGAGTCTGTATAATGCTAAAGAGAGTTTATGAGTCAGGTTCCTGGATGCCAGTGATGATAATTCCTGATCACAAAGTTCTTATTTCATGTGCTGATGAAGTTTCTGGTCCACTATTGAGGAAGTCATTTTAAAGAGGCACATTCTTCCAGAAGATACTGAAAGAAGGCACAATGGCCAGAGAAAAATAGCTGGGCTTTCTCAAGCTTTACATGCCTGAGAATCACCTGGAGAGTTTGTTAAGGACACAGATTCCTGGACCCTACCCCCAGATATTTTTATCTAGTAGGTCTGAAGTACAGAATGTGAGAATTTTAATAAGCTCCAGAGTTATACTGAAGTTGTGGGTGTGAGGATCAAACTCTGAGTAGCTGGGCTTTACTGGGGCCCCCACAGGCTTCAGGGTACCATGCTAAATTCTGTATAGAATCATTGTGAATTCCAAATTTTAGTGCCTTGTCAAGGGCTACCGATTTCAAATGGTGTTCTGTATCAGGGCAAAAGATGATTTAGGCTTCTCTTAATCACGATAATAGGAGCATCTTTTGTGCTTGAGCAGAGCTCCTAAATCCCTTGGAATTCCCTGGGCAATAACAGCTTCTCTTATTCTAATGAGCAACTCTTGGTGGGATCCTAAATGGCTTCAGGATGGAGGCTGGTTCCAGAAAAACTGAACCTTGATTAGAAGCCTAGAACTTTCAGTCCCATTTCCCCCAGCCTCCAGGGGAGAGGGGCTAGAGACTGAGTTAATAATCTATCATGCCTAGAAACCTCCATAAAAGCCCTAAATGATGATGTTCAGAGAACTTCCAGTTTGATGACTGCATTTACTTGCTGTGATGCTGGTGCAACCCAGCTCCACAAAATAGAAGCTCCTGGGCTAGAGACCTCCAGAATGTGAAAACTCATGTTCACACAACCTATACCTCGCCCTGTGTACATATCTCTTTGTCTGGCCATTTATCTGCATCCCTTATAATATCATTATAATAAAGCGGTAAATGTAAGTACAGTGTTACCCTAAGTTCTGTGAGCTGTTCTAGCAAATTACAGAACCTGAAGAGGAGGTGGTAGTGGGAACCCCCGATATATAGTCTGTCAGAAGTACAGAAGGCCCAGGACTTGCACTTCACATCTGAAGCGAGGGCAGTCTTGTGGGACTAAGCCTTTAACTTGTGGGATCTGATGCTAACTACAGACAGATCATGTCAGAATTGAATTAAATTGTGACACACACAGTTGATGTCTGTTGAGTTGGAGAACTGGTTGCTGCTGTGAGGAAAATCCCCACACATCTTGTGCAGAAGTGTCTATGGGCAGAACAGATCTTAGTAACCTGTATGAGCATTGTGATTTTACCTATTTCTTTCTTTTTTTTTTTTGTCCTTTTTGAGACCGGCTGCACCGCGCTCAGCCAGTGAGCACTGTGAGCGCACCGGTCATTCCTATATAGGATCCGAACCCGCGGCGAACAGCGCTCCCAGCGCCGCACTCTCCCGAGTGCGCCACAGGCTCAGCCTATTTCTGAAAACTATCTTTAAATAGTCCAGAACAAGATGTAACCAAGAGTTTGACTCTTTGGGGGTAGGAGAGACTAAAAGTGGCCCATGTCAAGATCAAGCCAAGCCTTCCGGTGATTTGACAACTTGATCTTTCGTATCTCTAATATCACTGCAACATCCCAGGACAGGGACCTTACTCTGCCAATTTAAGAACTGGCTCAGACCACAGGAGTCCAACTGGGGGCAATATTGAATTACTATCTAGAAAGGGGTAATCAGAATAAATGATAAAATCCTACTTACAGTCTACAAACCAGAATCCTAATACACGAGGAATTAAATGCTAAGAAGGAACTGACAAATTTATTTTGAAGATTAATTCACTTCAGAGAAAATAAAAATTAAGAGTAACCCAAAACTGACTTTAGCGCAAATTATATTTTGGGTCTTCAAAATGAGATAAAAGGAGAAGTGGCTTCTGGAAAATGAATAAGAAATTATGACACTAAAATCGATAAAAATAAAACAAAGATGAGGGTCTTCTCATCCTAAGATTCCTGGAAATGAAAAAAGTCAATGTACATGTGAAAAAAAAATAACTAAATGGACTAGATAAGTTCTTGACTGGACAAAATCAATAGAAAAGAAAACTAATGAATTGGACAATATCTCACCCTGGTACAGCACAAAAAGATAGAAACTCTAAGAAAACAAAAAGTAATTAATTCTCATATATTGCCGGAAAGAATGTAAAATAGTACAACCATTCTGGAAAATACTTGGGAGTTTATTATGGGATTTTATTATAAAGTGAAACATAAACTTACATGTGACCCAACAATCCCACTCCTAGCTATTTATGGTAGAGAAATAAAAACATCTGTTCACACAACTTGTACAAATGCTATTTCATTTCCTCCCACTAGACTGCATACTCCCTGGGAGCAGGCAGGGACTTGGTCTGGTTCACTGTTGTATCCCTAGCACCTGGAATAGTGTCTGACACAATTATTACATATTAAATGAATGTAGAAACAGCTTCCATGTGCTAAGGGAATATAACTACCAACCTACAATGCCATACTCAAGAAAATTACTTAAGGCTAGCTATGGTTTGAAAATGTCCCCCAAAGTTCATGTGTTGAAAACTGAATCCCCAATGCAACAGTGTTGGGAGGTGAGCCTAATGGGAGGTGTTTAGGTCATAAGGGCTCCACCCACCCTCATGAATGGACTAATGCTGATTATAAAAGGGCTGTGGCAGCATGTTTGATCTCTTGCCACTCTTTTGACCTTCTGCCACACGATGACACAGCAAGAAGGGCCTGGGCCAAACGTAGTCCCCTGATCTTGCACTTCCCAGCCTCTAGCCAAATAAATTTCTGTTCATTATAAATGACCCAGTCTGTCATATTCTGTTATATAGTAGCACAAAACAGATGAAGACAAAGTTGAAGGAAATGAAGAGCTTTTCAGATATATAAGAGATTGTAGTTTTTTTCCCACAGAACTTTATTCAAAAACTTCTTCAGGACAAAGTGAGCTACACCCAGATGGAAGCAGAATAGAAGAGAACACTGTTATAGGCTGAATTGTGTCTCTCTCCCCAAATTCAAATGTTGAAATCCTAACACCTAGTACCTCAGAATGTGACTGTATTTTAAAGAGTTTATTAAGTAAAAATGAGGTCACTAGTGTGGACCCTAAATCCAATATACTGGTGTCCTTATAAGAAGAGGAGACTTGGATGCCCACAGAGAAAAGACCATGTGAGGACATGGGAAGAAGACAGACCTCTTTAAACCAAGGAGAGAGGCCTCGGAAGAAACCAACCTAGCCAACACCTTGATCTTGGACTGTCAGCCTCCAGAACTGTGAG